GTATCCGGTCAACCAAAATAATATTTTATTTATTTGAGATTTTCGATATAAATAAAACATTTAATATATTTAATATTTAGTAGGCTATCCTTGACTTCTAATGCATGCTTCGATTCTATATGGCATGCTTCTATAAGTTTAATATAGGTTTCAGATGGAATTTTTCTCCATTCTTCTTGCAATATTTCCTCAAGTTTACGAAGATTTTTTGGCATTACTAGAATTAGCATATCGAGTGATTATATCTGTAACAGTGCTTTGTAGAATCTTTAAAAGACAAGCAATAGCTTCATGGGTTCTTCCAGCTATCCGTAACTGATTATTTTTCTGCATTCAAACTCATTTAATTCACAACTTTTTTCCATATTAAACGGCGCAGTTTTAAAAAAAGAGAAATGTTTACGTTTTTGTTTATTAAAACTGATCTATGCATTATTACACAAATATAAATATATATACTTAATCGTCAGAACTAGGAGATTTATTTAAAAAAAAATTTTATTTAGTTAATATATCTGATCTTGAGAAATTTAAAAAAAGTTTGACCGGATACTTTTTGAAGGATAGTGTATTTTATAATGTACATTTTAAAGTACCAATTATATATGGAAGACTATTAGTTCGTATTCAAGACCCAAAGCACTCAAAAAAGACAGCACAAAATCAATTATTTACTAGTGCATGACTTCTTTCATTAGGAATAGATACTACAAGATATGATCAGCTATATCTATTAGCACATCAAGATAATCATACTTTATTAAAGCATGATGTTCTTAATGTTGATAAACAAGATAATGGAGTAGCATATCGGATGTTTCATTCAGATAATCTATTGCAAGTTATTCAAATAGAAAATGTTTCTTCTAATATGATTGGATTTTTTATTTACTTATTTATTCTTGGTAAGTTATTTTTTATATTTAAATAAAAAAATTAATTCTTGTAATAATTAATTTATATGATTATTAAAGAAATTATGTGATGCATATCTTAATTGAAAAATTGATTACAAAGTAAGAATTAGAATGGCTATACGTGTATTTTTTTTCTTAAAGTATGGAAAGATTATATTTAACGTTATAGCACATTTTATTTATCAAAATGGTATAATATGTAACGCAGTATTATATCTATTCAAAGTTTTGAAATTTTCACTAGTATGGCAGAATCTTTGGCAATGCTTATTATGGTTCATTGAGAATACTATCCTAAATACCCTTTATTTTTATGGGAACATAGAACTAAAGCTCTTGAACATATATTTGGTATATTACGTCAAGTAATAGTTGATTTTAATTTTTATGAATTTTATAAAATTCAAAAATATGTAATGTATCGAGATAAAATCTCATGTGCTGAATTAATTAATACATCAAGAGATCAAACATCAGCTAAAGGTAGGAATTTTATTATATTAATTAAAATGTATTTAAAATTAAAATTCACAAATGTTATATATTTAGGTTATGTATTTGATATTGATAGTATTTCTCTTTCTCATGAAACTAATAAATGTTTACGAACTTGGCCATCTGATGATAACTTTAAAGAAGCAATTCATATTGGATATAATAAAGTAATGTCATTTGCAAAATATCTTCAGATTGACAACTAAACTATGCCTTCAATTCAACAATTTATTTGTTATGATGAACATTTATCAGATGATCAAAACAATTTAAGAATAGTTTATGATGATAATGATCAATATAAAAATTTAGCTAGTATAGAAAATTATTTTAATATTCTATTTTCGTTAATCATTTTCATTTTTCATTTTCATTTTTTAATTCATATTTTTATCTTAAAACCAATTGAATCACAAATAAAAACTAAAAATATTAGGACTGTCACATTTGAAGTTTCTCAGCTTCTATTAGATGAATCAGATGATGAATCAAATACAGAAAATGAATTTGCAAATGAAAATGAAACAACAAATATTTCTTTGTTAACTTTTCCTGATTTGCATTATATTCTTAGTAAAAAACTAGTTCTATATAAGCAATTGAAAAGTTTGATCTGCTATTTACACCTGAAGGATTTTTACATTTTGAAGCTTTAGTTGATACTCGAAAAAATCATTATGCCTTTACATAGAATTCAAAAAATACCTTTAACAAACAAGCACAACCTGAAACATTAGAAGCATCTAGTTTACTTAATCTTAATCATACTAATAAATTAATTACTGAATTAACAAATAATTTAGATGTTTAAGAAAATTGTAAAAATCAATGAAAAGAATATTAGAAAGGACGTAAATGACTTGCAACTATTCTAACAACTGTTGGGACTAATAGTAAAATTTTTTTTATTGGCATTGTAAAATTTAATTGATTTTTACAGATAAATATTTAATTTAATTTAATTTTTTTTTCAAGTATATGATATTATCAATGCAAATATATCAGATTTTCATTCTTTGATTTCAAGTGGATATTTGATCATTTATTTAGACAATAAACTTTGTATTACTCAAATTATCTCAATGTATAAGAAGCAAGGTCAATGGCATGCATGGGTAGAAAGATCAAATTTTTTGGATTATCTATCATATATTTCAGTTAATATTTATCTGAATATTTATGATAATCTTTAGACAAATATATGTGAAGTAAGAGAAAAATCATTTGCCCATATTCCAGCTAAAGAAGTTTTATATTATTTTGATTCACCTCCTTTTAATTCTCAAAGTTCTTTTTTCACTTTAACAAAAGAAAATTTGGAAATTTTTCAGCATTTTAAAACATCAAAGATGGTATCAGATCTTGCAAAAATTTTTTATAAATAACAATTTTTGATATTAAATTTGTGATTTCTTTAATTTTCAACTTTTACAATAAATCATTTACTATTTTTTTACATAATATTTTATAAAATAAAATTTAATTTTTGCTAAAAATTTAATAATTAAAAGTAAAATATCTCACCGTAATTTTATGATTTAAATATAATTTAATTATTTATACTTACCACAATTTTGATTTGCATAATTAATAAAAATATGTGATTTGCAATCATATGATTTTTCAATATTTTTCCAGTAACCTCTATTAAAAGTTTTTCCAGTCCTACTGATCTCTCACCCACCCCTGATAATCAATTTGATTGGCTAAAAATTATATATATATTATTTATATTATTATATATATATTATATATTAATTTGTTTAATTTATAAATTTTATTGAAGATATTTACAAACTTTTTCAAAATAAAGAACTTCTAAAATAATAGTAAAAAAAAACTTTAAGGATGTATTTTTTTATTAAGAACTTGGTAGTAACGGTAATTTACTATGATAATCTTTATTATTAAATAAATTAAAATAATAGTTAAATAAATAAATAATAGTTAAATAAATAAAAATGAATAATAAATAAAATAATAAATGAACTTATCTTTAATCTATAAATTTCTTTTGCTAAAAAAACTTTCAACAGAATAGAAACAATGTTTGTTATTAGCCTAATGTAGTAATAATTTTGCAAATCTATTAAGATCTATTATAAAAATCACGTTTTTGCATTTTTGCATTCTTTACATTCTTTTAAAAAAAAATTAATATACAAAGCTTTTTGAAGATATTAAACTTTAGCAAAGATTTTTTTATAAACCACCTCAGGATTTATATCAAAAATTTTGTAATACATATGTATATTACAAATAAGCCATACTATTTAACCCAAAACTAAACTGCAAAAATTTAATACAAGAATGTATAAATATTTGAAAAGAAAATAAAAAGCATAATACTACCTTTATTAAAGATATGATTTGTAAATATTATGAAACTGTTCCTTTTACTCTTCGTTCATATCAAAGACTTTTTCATCATATGATATGACTTCTGGTTCTAATAATTTCAGGCATACTCACCACATATCCACTACATTTACTATAACATAAGGATTAATCAATATTACAACTATACCAAAAAATGCTGTTTCGCAATATAATGCAGCTGAGCAGATCAATTTAGCTACAAAGAATATATCTGATTATCAACAAGTATTAGAAACTACCACGAATAGTTCATTAAAAGATTTATTAATATTACAAATTACTAAATAGCAAAAAATTGTATCAGAACAAAGTGTGCGATTAAGAAAATTGAAGCATCATGCTGAAGCACAAGCAAAACTTACAACAAAAAAAAAATTACTAGAAGAAAGAATTGTAAAAAAATATAACATCTCAAGAAGACCACCTGCAGCAATGAAGAATCCAGATTTATGGGATAAGATCTATGATTGCATTGAGTTCAAAGCTACTCATATTAAAAAAAGAAAAGAAATTATTAAAGTTCATACAATAAAGCACTTACGTGAATTACTCAAATAAAAATATAATATATACTTATTTCACCAATGTTTATTAACTTATCTTCAACCTGTCATCCAAGTATTTTTGCTGCATATCATCATCATTATCTAGCAAAAGTTAGTCTTGCTTCTATAGTACGAACAGAAATGAAATCTTATATAGATGAACACTATTGCCTAGCTTCTGTTAAAGCTGCAAGAGTATTTGCTAAAGTTTTTGCTGATAAAGTGATTATTATCTCTTAGGATGATAAAACAAAGATCAGATTAGGCATTCTTGCAGTTGGTTGTATGTTCAAAATCATTTAAACTATTAATGAACCAGTTACTATTAAAGATCACGATTTTCCAGTTGGTTCAAAAATAAAACTCATACCTTCTGTTTATCTGATCATTAATTCAGCCGATTTGAATAACACCTTATGAACTAGTCAACTTTCCATATTTATTAGGCCAGAGTACTTTATTAGAATATCTTTAACAACTTATATTGCAGACTTAAAAAGCATTGTTTCAAGTGAAGAGTTTTCCACTACCCTAAAAAAAGAAAAATAAAGTTAGACCTATTTAGATTCTTCTTATTGATGGTGGATCTGATAAAAATCTAAATTATATGAAGAATATTATTTAATATACTCATTTTTTTCATGCTTTCAACCTGAATTATTTGACCGTTTGCACTCATGCTTTAGGCTAAAGTGCGTATAATCCAATAGAACACAATATGGCTTCTTTATCTGCAAAGCTTGCTGGCATCATTCTACCTGTGAGGAAGTTCAGATCACATCTAGATAGTCAAGGAAATGTAGTAGACAAAAAATTAACAAAACAGAATTTCGAATACTCAGAAAAAAAATTATGTGATATATGATAAAGGGATGATATTTATGAAAAGCTTGTGAAAGTAGAATATATCAATCAATATAGGTGTCCATTCAATGAGCTTGAGCCTTCGATATTATGGGGTGGTTTGAGAATCATATGCAGATTTGTCGCTATTCATTAGATATAAGAAAATACAAAAATCATGAATGTTGTAATGAATATAGAACTCTGAATATGGCTATTCTTTTAAATAAGAATAATAGATTTCTTTTTCCAACTACGAAAGGAAAAGACAATCATTTTATCAACCCAATTCACACTCTTCAATATCATGATAAACTCAAAATTCCAAAGTATGATAGTAGTTGCCTTTAATTTCACGAGAACTTTACCAACGTTTATATTACAATATATACGAAAAATACTTTCCAACCCTCAAGTTTATGAATGAACATAAGCGAAATATGCATTCTGGATATTGCAAAAAGAAGAGAATTTGAAAACAAGCTGGTGAGACAGAAATAGATTGTGTATTTGTTCTGTTAAACCTAAATTTTAATATTGCTGAAGATATAAATCCAGAAAGAAATTTATAATAAGAAGTTGAATAGATTTTTTGTGAAGTTCAATCAAATGTAGATTGATTTCTATTTGAGAAATTATGGCTTATATGTAATTTTATGATGATCATGATGACATCATTAAATTTGTTGATTACATACTAATAAATCAATTTTTGCCACTTAGATAAAACTTATCGATCAATCATATGAAAGTTTAAATATGCAATGACATAATATTTAAATAAAAATTTTAATATCTATTTCATTATTTAAAGATCTTAAAAAGATTTTAGAATGAAATGGCAGAATATAATATTACTAATAAATTAGACTTCATAATAATTATATAATATGATAAGTAAGATAAAAAGCTAACTAATCATCTCATATTAAATATATTATGTGATCATAACACCTAATATATAAAACTGACCTTTACCCACCTTTTAAATCAGCTGATTTTTGATCCTTCCCTAAATAATGTAATATAAAATATGATTTTTTTTGATTGATAATGAATATTTAATAAGAGTATTATTGTAAAAATGGTTAGTTTAATATTTGATTATAAGATTATTATAAATTTATGATTTAAATAAATTGAGTAAATAGCTTATAAATTTAATAATGATGAATATGTTATGAAAATAAGTAAAAATTTGTTGTAGATATAGTTACTAATCATTAATATTTTAAGATTACATTAGGATCAGTCATAAAAGTAGATCTATCAAGATATGATATATCAATATTATTCCAATTAGAGTATTTATTAAGTGTAATGTAAGCTTGATCAGTTAAAAATATATTTTTATCTAAAGTAAGAGTAACTTTAGGTAAAGTTAATCCTAAAGTTTTATAAACGGTAAGTGTGAAATAATTTTGTATTAGAAATTGGATTCAATGATAGTTGTTTCTGTTGATTTCAAAATAATGAATATATTTCTAAATATCTAAATCTATAATAGATCCTCAGATAGAAAAAGCAACATATGCAGATTATTCTATTAGATTTATATCAATAATTATACCTACTATGCCATTATATATTTCTTGATCAATAAGAAAATTATTAAGATATATAATATGTACAACTGGTTGTAATCTAATATAGGATGATAAGTTAGTTTTTTGTTTAAATATCTTATTATATAGAGATTAATCCTATGGTATAGAGCTTACAAAATCAGAAACTTGAGAAAGTAAGAATTTATTATTAAAAACTAAAATAGTATTACAAATAATTGTATTAATTGTTTGAGTATTTTCTTTAAATCTGACAATATGTGTAATATTAAGAGATGTTTCAATTACAAATCTGATTAAAAATTTAGAATGATGTTATTGTAAAAAAGTTTAGGTTTCAGTAAAAATATTATCTATTC